TGCTCAACTACAGGACTCGCGGCTATCAAGCCTGCAACTGACAACCTGTTAGCCGATAACATTCAATCGACTGACAAATCCAAGCTCACATGGGCTGATGTCCTCAAGGGTGCTAAGCACAAAATGGACAAGACGGACGGCCCTGAAATAGTCTCAAATAAAGGCCCTCTATCGATTGCAATAAGTTCAAGCCAGGCAGGAATTTTGCAATCTGTGGACCGAGCAAGTACATCTGGTTTAGAAAAAATATGCAGCAAGGAATTGGCCACGACGGATGTAAACGACGAATTTATAGATGTCCTGCTCAATGAAAGCCAGAAATACTCCTTTTTTGGTGAATCCGGGTTTGACTCGGTCAAGATTGGAAATACATCTTTTAAATTTGCAGTTCGAGATACGAATTTGGTCCTCTTTCAACTTCAAAAATCTATCCTCCACAAAATTCACATCAAAATTGATCTTGTCCTAGAAATCATTGGATTCATCTCCCAGATCGCAAATACTACTCCAAAAAATTTTGGGACAAAAAAAAGATTTGAAGATATCACAATTTCCGTGAAAATTAGTAGAGCGGGCTCATATGTAAGAATGGAGAAATACAAGGGGAGCTTCATTCAGATACCCATGGGACATCTTAACTCAAACCTGTATATTTTCCTTAATATTCTTACTAATTTTGTAGGGATCTCAAAGACAGTGCCAGACGACTCAATATCTCTTCTACACGGGAATGAACAACAAACCGAGGACCCCACATCCATATCTAAACTGATTTTCAACTATCAGATCCAAACGGGAGATATTAAAAATACACGTGCCATCAACTTTGGAAAACAACCCGAGCTACCACTGATCCAGGCATATTCAGATGCATCTGACGATTTTGGTCATTCAGACGATTCACTCTTTATAGATGACTTCTTGGGACACGCAACTGAGAACGATCGTCGTCCTCCTACCTCATACCCAGAAGAAATTCGGAAATCCAAGTTCAATACCGCTATTTGCCATAAAGCTAATTTCATAACCTCTGAAAATTGCTTGCCAACCGAAAACTTGAACACGCAGCTAAAAATCTACAGGAAATCTCAAAAAAACAAAAGGTGGCACAACATGAAAACTAGGTCCCAAACCAGAGATTTTCCATGGGATTAGCTTCTTCTTCTTTTTCTTCCTTTTGTACTACTTTTCATTTATTTTAGAGATATTACCCGAAATAGGACTAAAAAGGTTTGAAAATTCCAAAATAGGACTATCATGTTTTTATTCCCAAAATAGGACTAATTACTGTCATGTTTTGGCAGTACCAGATTTCAAACATGACAGTATTTTCCAAACTTGACAGTAATTACTCCTATTTTGGGAATAAAAAACATGTCAGTCCTATTTTGGAATTATCAAACTGTTTTAGTCCTATTTCGGGAACTTTCCCTTTATTTTAGCACTTCTTTCTTTCATGTACTCTTTTTTTCTTTCACGCATTGTACTCTTAATTTTATATCAATAAAATTTCCCTTTTTCAAAAAAAAGGTTATGGTAAGTGTAGAAATAGAAGAAGAAAATAGGCGGTGCTTTAGTCCTATTTTGGGAAGATAAATAACATAGTCATAGCTGTGCATTTAGGGATTAGTTTAGTCTTATTATGGAGCTATTTTTTCAAATATATATTAGTGGTGGAATAAAGGTAAGAAAAGGAAAAAGCAAATAAATAAGTGTAAGTAAAAAGAAAATAAAGTAAAAAGTTAGTACGGCGAGAAAAAGATTTTTTTATAAGGAAACTAATCCGAAAAAATATATAAAAGTGAAAATGAAATAATAAACGGGAAGAAGAAAAAGAAGGAAAAGTGGAATACGTAGACATTGAAAAAAATTGAAACGTAATAAAAATAAGAATAAGAAGACCAAAAAGGTGAATAGTCAAGCCGATAAAAAAGCAAAAAGTTTTAGGAAGAAAAAAGAGAAATGATATGTGGTATGTGGGACCCTTTGAAGAAGATTTGTGAAAGGTGGGATTTATGGTTGAATGACTTGTAAAGAAAATGAAAAAATTTTGAATAACAGGTCATCAACCGGTTAGAGACCGGCGAATGAAGATGAGCTACAAAGGTTGTATTATTATGAATAACGATAAGTTGGGACTATAGTAAGATATTATAGACTATAGTAAGATATTAGAGGTTTAGGCTTCATAAGCATGTAGCGCATTACAGTTGTTTTTACAGTTGTCTTAGAAATTTAGAAGTCACATTGGCTAAGATGATTTTAATGAAATGATGGTTGTTGTTGTACGGTATGTTTACAACATTAAATGTCTTATAGTTTATCTATTATGGGAAACTGGAATCACTATTTTTCTCCTATCTTGGACTAAGCTAGTGTTTGCCTTTCAAAGACATTCTTTATGAAAAAAAATCATTTGCTTATTATTTTTAAGAAAAAAAACATGTAACAGTATGTTATGAGCGTGGGTGGGAGATGACATACTCATCCTTGCCATCACTTCCAGGGAGGAGTTGTCATTGACGAAAACCCTTGGACCCAATTTTTTCAAAGCCCTGCGCTATTTTATTTTGATATGATTAATGAAGTTAAAGCCCTATTTGTGTGTGTGTGTGTATATATATATATATATATATATATAGAAAAGATCCTGTCCAGACGTCCGGACAGGAGCCGCCGTCCGGCCGGCGGCGTTTGGCCGCCTTCCCGGTGGATTTTTTTGATGAAATTTTTATGGCATGTTCTCCATCAAGTCTAGTTTATCCACAAAAAAATTCAGCCAAAAACTCAATCGGGAAGGTCGTCAAATGATTTTTGCAAGTTAACTGGTCCGGAATATGTATTTTCCGGACCAGTTAACTTGCAAAAATCATTTGACGACCTTCCCGATTGAGTTTTTAGCTGAATTTTTTTGTGGATAAACTAGACTTGATGGAGAACATGCCATAAAAATTTCATCAAAAAATTCCACCGGGAAGGCGGCCAAACGCCGCCGGCCGGACGGCGGCTCCTGTCCGGACGTCTGGACAGGAGCATTCCTCTATATATATATATATATATATATAGATTTAGGATCACATACAAAGTAATCTTAATTTACAAAGTGCAAATTAATCTAGGCCATCCATATGAATGAAATAAGGGTGTAGATGGTTTCCATGTAGAGGTTAGAATCCTAAAAAAACTCCTAAAAAAACTCCCCTACCATACGACTCATTTATTAGTGTTCAAAACAACTCCTAACAAATTCTACCATTGATTGCATAATATTGGACGGATGAGATTAATTTGCATTTTGTACCGGAAGAACACTTTGTATCCGATCTTAACCCTATATATATATAATACATATATATACATACGTATACACATATATACATGCGCGCGCACACATATATATGTAGATTAGAGATCAAATACAAACTATGCTTAGTTTACTAACCGACAAACTAATCCTGGCCATCTATTCTAATTGAACTGCCGTTACATTTAATCTGGATGCTTTTAGACAGTTGAGGGCTCATTAGTTTTTTTGTTATCTCATTTTTGGGCTCATTAGTTTTTTTTTTGTTATCTCATTTTCGGAAAAGAATCACGTTCCTTTCCATAACTGCTGCTATTCTATAATTTCCTTTTCATCCATATTCTTCAATAAATCACTTGCGCCATTCCATCAAAGTTTGATTTCATCGCCATTTTCATCGATCAACAGTTTACGCCCTTACTCGAACTACTTCTTTCTCAACCGTAAGTTTGTAATTAAACTCAATTCCTAGTTGTGTCCATCTTAAAATTTCACTCCATCTTCATCTCTTTAGCAAGCCATCGTTTCTTGGGAAAACTGTCAAATTAGTCCATGTAGTATCTTGAAAAAGTTAATTGAGTCCATGTACTATTTTATCAATCATATGAGTACACATAGTCTCAAATTTCAACCAATTTTGCCTTTTGACAGGTAAACAACAGGTTACCCTTTTTTTTGCTGACGTGGATCGGTGGATGCCAATTAAGCTTTTTTACACTTTTTTCCCCCTCTTTTCCCTTTTAATTTTCTTCTTCCTTTTTTAGTTTTTTCCCTATGGTTCGTCGCCCCCATCCTCCCCAATTCATCCGCCTGATTCGCCCCCCCCATTCATCCCCCTCCATTCTTGCAATCTTGCCCACCCCCCTTCTCCTTTCCCTTTTCTTTCCTTTTCCTCTTGCTTTTTCTCTTCTTCTCCGCTCCACGCCATCTACTCCGGCCACTCAACCTTCTATCCCCTTGTTTCATGCCTAGAGAAGGAATGACAGAAACCCAACGAAAACCGTTGCTAATCTTCGATGGAAACAAGACAGCGATGGAGAAGGTGGCGGCAGAGCTCAACGACGGTAGAAAGACGGAGACGTAGAAAAGGGAAGAAGCAAGAAAAAAAGAGAAGAGAATAAGGAAAGAAAAGAGAAAGAAGAAGAAAGAGATGAAGAGAATAAGAAAATAAGAAATGGGGGAGAAAGACGAAGAGATACAGTGAAGAAGAAAGATTTTTTTTTTAAAGAAAAGGAGGGTCTAATGCCACATGGACGCACAAATCAACGCTTACAAGGAAAAAATGCTACGTGGATGATCCATGTAGGCAGGTTACCAGGGATACCAGTCAGTTACCTGATACTCCCTCCGTCCCACTGGACTTTGCCAACTTTCCCTTTTTGTTTGTCCCAAAAAACTTTGCCATTTTCCCTTTAAAGCAATGATTTTGTAATTCTGTTTATTTCTCTTTCCTCTGCACAAATTTCAACCACACAATTTTTACTATTCTAATTTCCCACCTAACATCAACTTGGCAAAGTTGAGTGGGACGGAGGTAATAAAAGGCAAATTTGGTGATTTTTTGTAACTTGGTGGACTTAATTGGTTAAAAAAATAGTATGTGGACTCAATTGACTTTTTCGAAATAGTAGATGGACTGATTTGACAGTTTTCTCTTGTTTCTTTTTCTCAACCTAATACAATTTAATCGCAATAGGTATATTATTAATTGAAGAGGGTGGATTCAGGTATGCTATTATTAATCGTAATCTCTTCATTGTATTAAGCTCTCTGTGTTCATTTTTAATTTTGATGACACAATTTTTAGTATTCATCGTTGTCGCATATGTTATGTATTCGAAGTATTATCCATCGCTCCAAACTTCATTCTAAGAAAATAAAGTTTTTTACTCTTCAAATGTTGTTTTTAATTTAATTTGTAGATTTCAATGTTTTAAAATTAGAATGCATACGGTGAATTACTGAATTTGTTGTTAACTAGGTTATTCTTGGGTTATATGAAAGATGAACATATTTGTGATACAATATGCATCATTTGTAGGTGTATTATGCATTCATTCAGTATTACGTAATAGTTAATAATGTACAGAGTATATATGTCTTTTGTACTGTTAGTTAACTTATTTCATTTCCAACTGGTTATTAATCGAGTCAAAAGTCATCACTAATAGAGGTCTCCTATTAAGCTCATGTGTCATCTTTCATGTACTCCTTTTGTCTAGATGTATCATATTTTTTCTGCTTGTTTGATTTTAAGCTTGAAATTTACCCGCATCCCTACACCAGTAAGTTTAATTTGCATGTTTGAACTGAATTGTATGCACTTGTGCCCTTAGTTGATGCATAATTTGTCGTCCTTGCAATATTCGCAGGCACAATATATGTTTATTGTACCTTACATGGGATAAAAGTGAATGTTCTATTAGAAGAATCAAATCTTTAGAGGATGTGATTGTTGAAGAATCAAGATGTCCCAACTCCCAAGAGCCTCTATAGATTGTGTAATGAGATGTCTGATCACGATAGCAACATTAGCTTGAATTGTCCCTTGAACAAAGAGCAATTCATAATGTCACTATATTAATGCAGTTGTTTTTTGCTATATTTTAATTTCCTATGTAATGATATGTACTTTGTAAACATGTTGATGCAATCAATACATCTTTCTTTTTGTTCAATGTATGAGATGTCTATGTATTATATGTGCTTATAAAATTTCTTATTTATTTCAGTATAGTATGCACTTCTCATCCCACTAAACTTCATTATTCGATGCACTCATATGCATATTGGTTTCCGGTTTCCCTATTCAAAAAATAAACGTTGAGTAGGATGTTTTCTTTTGGATTGAAATTTGCTGGTTTGGTCTGGTCTGGTAAACGTCTGGTCTTTGTGTATTTTATAATTACGGAAGTCTAGTCTGATCTGGTTTGATCTGGTCTAGTCTGGGACTGAAAACAATCCAAAAGAAAACATTCTCAATGATAAGTTGTTTTATACAATATTTATTGATAAGCAGTTTACATTATAATGTGTACTCATCTTCACACTTAAATGCTTCATTAAATTCATTGACATGCATAATATGTTTCTGTACTCGTGAAGTACATCTTGAAATCCGGTGTGCACGTTGGATGTCTTTTTAATTTTTGTTTTCGCTTTCATTTTCATAACAATTGAACAATTTCGTGTTTGCAAAGTTCGTGAAATTTGAGAAAAGTTTTTTTTATACCGTTTAGAACATGTTCCTCATATATTATGCATTTTGTGATCCCATGAATTATGTATGCATGTCATTGAAGTATACAATGCAAATATCATATTAATAAGATTGAAGATATAAACCCCTAAAATGCACATATTATCTTACTAAAACGCGGTGCATGAACTTCTAAAAATCACAAGCCATACTGAAAAAATGCAACATATGAACTACTAAGATGCAAACATCATTACAATAAGATGCAATATGAACATAACTATCAAAGTGCACATATTTTATCACTATGAAGTTGAAATATGTCATGCAAACATTGTCAATTCATATTGCGCATCTCACAACCTTTATATGCACATATGTAAGCTTAAAATAAATATAGAATGAGCACCAATGCCATTACGATAGAATACAACCAACATAAAGATGAAATGTGTCCACTATATTAGTTTGCTTCATACTTGGATTCATAATCTGTAATTGAGTTTAACCTGATACTATATCAACAAAATAGTACACATGTGACATTTTTACAGTGAATTGTTTTTAATCAGCTCAATGATTTTAACATTTGTGGTAGCCATGTACGACTACCCTACAACATGCACCTCATACAACAAGTTAATGCATCATACAATGTCTGTACATGCATCTCATTACTAATTTAATATCTAAAAACACAAATTGAATTACACACTCTATTATAAGAAACGAGACTTGGAATTTATTTTGTAATTTACTGTACTAACCTTGAGAATAATCATGAGCATTTTTTGATGAAATTATGTGAGAATGTTCACCATGAAATGTATATTATATCTACCAATTTCAGATTAAAATTTAATCCGGAAGTCACTTAAATAACTTTTTTTTAAAATTGAGCAGCTTTTTGATTTCATTTTGGACAAACATCACGTGAGTGGATAAATGTGTTTTGGTCGCATGAATCTTCAATTCCTCCGGTCTCATGCCTTCAGCCAATCTTCTTTTGATCTCACAGTACGTAGGTCTCATTACGGGTCTATGGAGTAGATTAAAAACGGAGAAGACTTTTCAAGTGCAAAAATGTAAATGATCAAAGCTTCAACATAATTGACTAGAGCTTCAATACATACATACTGCACTAGATCCATGGGCCGGCGGCGAAAGGGTGTCACGACCTATTATATGCACAAGATGTTCATGAGGGGATCAAAGATAAAAAAAGAATGATACCAGTGACATGGCAGATCACCTGTAATGCTGACATCTCTTTAAGCGTGGATGCAGCACATCAACCGGCTCGAACAGCTCTCCAAGAAGCTTTCTCCTTCCCTGTCCAAGCTCAAACAGCTCTCCAAGCAGAAACATTGGCAACCGAAACATCAATGATAATTTTATCACAGAAAGGATACAAGGAATTTGAAATCCAAACTGATTCCGAAATACCTCATCAACTCGTACATGAAATTGGACGAATCTCTTCCCTTCAAGCAACAGAGAGAGAAATCCAACGGCGCTCAAGAAGGCCTTCGAAGTACGGAAATTAAGCACTACACAGTACACAACAACAACCTTACCTCAGGCGGCCAGGAAAGCTTACCTCCATGGAATGACTTTCTTCCGCGACGCTGCTGGTTGATCTCCAAGCATCTCTCGCTCCCAGGCTCTTAATCGGAACTCTGAATCGCTCCAAACTCCTATTTTGGAAGCTACCTGTCGTCTCTGGCTCATCTAATATTCCAACGACAAACTACAGCCCCACTTCACCTAGCTCTTTGTTTGGAAGCTGTTTCATTCACATTTTTGAATATTTCTTTTAGTTTCGTATTTTCTATTTAACTTCCGTCAGAATGTAATTTGTTCACTCCCTCTTAATAAAATTTATGGGTTTGCTTAAAAAAAAAGATGTTCATGAGCCAGGCTTGAGATTCACTTCCTACTCAAACAACGACAATGACCTGGAGCAGGATTTGGTTCATTTTTAAAAAAGACCAACACCGGTGACCAAGGGGTTGTGAAATACGCAAAAAAAAAACAGTGGACATGAGTGTCTTCAATGGCTGGGAGAACCTTCTTCCATGGCTAGGAGCAACTTCTTTAAACGTTAGTGGGTGGCCAAACGTAGCTTAAATAAGTCATATTTATATGTTAATTTGGTCCACTTCAAAGTTAAGTGTCCAGTTGAACTTTGTAAATAACCTTAATATCCTTTTTGAGCCTTCTCCCTTTTGTAAACTACTATATAACTGTGCATTTTTAGTTTAGGTGTTATCATTTTACATCTTTATGACGCTTATTATAAATTTACATGATGAGTAGGATATTGCATCATTTGAATTTGATCATCTCTGGCCTCAAATTTTATAGTGCAACTTTATGTTTGACATGGTGCATAAGCGAATTACATAAATAATGTTCAAAAGTGCACATATGCATGAAAAAGGTGCTAAGCGATTCAATGAAAAGTGTCATTCAATAAATAATGTTCAAAAGTGTACAAATGCACGAAAAAGGTGTTAAGCGTGCATACTCTATCTCGGAGTATGCACGCTTGCTCCCCCTCAATAATAATTTTTTTGAATAGGTGTACCAGGAGCTTTGATGAACTTGATTGAAAGCTGAGAAAACATTTCTTCATCTTGCCCCCTTCACATGTGTTATCAAGGTGTTCAGAAGCCTTTCTGTGATATCGGGTTATGGATTGATGTATCCAGAAACCATGTTATAGTGCGGGTTCTATGTTCTTCTACTCAGAAGCCAAGTTGTACTGCAGGTTCTGAGCTGATTTTCTTAGAAGCCAATTGGAGGTTGCTCAACAGCTCGATTTCCCATCATGTGTGTGGAGCAAACATATCAGGTACCATACACGAGGGACACTTGCATATGGATTAAGATACCTTTGGCACCCATTTAATGATTGGTCCGTCCTTTCTCGCATAACACATATTGTGCAATTTTTGTAACACCGTCCCAAAGTTTATTTACTTTTTACCAAATTATGTAATGAATTTTGAGAAAGGGTCAATGAATTTACGATGTTGTAAATTCTTGTTATTAGTTTAACGTAAATAGTAAAATACACGTGGGGCCCACACCGGGAGCGGGGACCACCTGATATTTTTGGCACCACATATTATATTCATATTGGTCTAGATAATATTTATATGATGGTGTGTATTCATGTTGGGTCATAAAAACGACATAGAGATGAATAGTTGATCAAACGAGGCCCATATACTACTATCGTTGATTTGACAGATAACAACCCGTAATAAATTCCGAGGACAACTAACTTAATGTTAAGGGATATTTCTAGAGGACCATAATAATTGGGAGAACTATATATATTTTAATTGGCCCGATAAAATGAAATAGAATTAAAACAGTACGAAAACTACAACCTTCGAGACCGCATGTACACTTCGGGGCACAAAGGGATGACCTCCCACATGAGTGGGGGCCACCCCACAAAATTATACACCCAAATAAACCAAAGGACCATTGATTGAACCCATTGTGAATGGATGAGTGCAATAAGAGATGGGAGGAGGCAAATGTGAATAGGAAAGGGGTCCGCCATCACATTATTTGGCCCAATATGCCAAAAAAAGTATCCCCTCACCCATTGGCTCTACCATTTCCACTAAAACATTCTCTCTGCGTGTGTGTGAAAGAGAGAGAGAGACTCTTGAATACACAGTGCCCGTTGCTTCGGGAGAATCTGTTAGTACCCAATTTTGATAGATTTTGATGATGCCACTATACTTTGAACCCGTACATTATGTCTAAATTAAATTCAAGTATTAGCGTTAAAACGTGACAAACTAAATGTAAAATTTTTGGAACTAATAAAATTACACTGGAAAGTCAAAATGCAATAAGGTAAAAATTCTCTTTACCTTAAAAGGATATTTAAATCCTACCAGTATAATTCTATTAGTACACAAAAATTAACCGTCACATAAATATATACATTGAATGTATATGATTGAAGACAAACCTTGACCGGCATTTAATACCGGATCAAGTACTGAGGGCCAAGGCATGGGACACACAAATAATGCAAGACAAAGTGATCAGCTGCAAATTAATGCTCCAGCACAACAGGACAAGAGTACTACTCATACTCATCAGAAATTCAACGGAAGAGATCAAACTATCCTAACCAACGGATAAGATTGATCAGCCAAAAAGCCTATAAATAGAGGCTAAACCGAAGGTTTCAAACCAAGCTTGAGCATCCTAAGTAGAGAAATATTTTCATCAAAGCATATACGAGCTATCTAGCAAAAGAGAAAGTGCAAACTCAACTTTACTCTCTGCTTAGTCTCATGCTTCACTAAGCTCTTAGATTAACTCAACACTTTTACATCTTTAGAGCTTAGTTCATAGTTGGAGGTTAGAACTTTCTTGTAACATTTCACAAGTTGTTGTAAACACTTAGGAGAACAGTAGTTCGGATCCTAAAGTGTGGTTAGATAGATAGAGTACCTTTTGATCCCCACT